TACTAATTGTAACAACAACAACAATAACAGCAACAATAATGTTACTACTGCTACTAATTGTAACAACAACAACAATAACAGCAACAATAATGTTACTACTGCTACTAATTGTAACAACAACAACAATAACAGCAACAATAATACTACTAATGTAACAAAAAGCAACTACTACTGCTACTAATTGTAACAACAACAACAATAACAGCAACAATAATGCTACTACTGCTACTAATTGTAACAACAACAACAATAACAGCAACAATAATGCTACTACTGCTACTAATTGTAACAACAACAACAACAATAACAGCAACAATAATGCTACTACTGCTACTAATTGTAACAACAACAACAATAACAGCAACAATAATGTTACTACTGCTACTAATTGTAACAACAACAACAATAACAGCAACAATAATGTTACTACTGCTACTATTGCTGCAACAATAACAGATATTATTACCAATAACTGTTTTGTTAATTTGTTTGTTTTTGCTAAAAAATTGACACATAGCAGTATATTAGCTAATTAGCTTTGCTTCTATAACTTTGAATAAATAGAAATTTTGCTAGCAAAAATTAATTGAAAATTAAAACTAAAAAAGTTTTGCATTGGTTATAATTAAAAAATTAAAAATTCTTTAGAAAATTTTTTTAAAAAAAAAAAAATTTTTGTTTGAAAATTTCGTATTTAGTCTAAATAAGATTTTATGAATTTTTTTTTTTTTTTTTGTTATATTTAACTTTTGAATTTTGAGAAAATTTTTTTTTAACTCTGAAAAAAAAAACTTCGAAAAGGAATTTTTTTCAATGGTCAAAAAATGTTGTATATAAGTTATAATTTAAAAAGTTTAAATTATCAGTTTGTAGTAAAAGTTGAAAATAATAAAATGAGAAGCATAAGAATATATTTAATCATTTTCATTTAAGTATTTGAATACATTTTCATGGATGAATTGAAGTAATTATGATAATCTTTTTTTTTTTTTTTTTGTTCATTTTGGAATAATTTTTAATTTCTAATTATATAATGTTGAAATTTACGAAAAAAATTTTAAAAAAGAAGTAATTATTCATTAATTTTTAATTATTATTTTTAATTTATTGCATTTTGATTAGTAATTTCTTTCTTTGCCGTATATTTTCCTTAATTTTCCTGATTTTTTTTCCTTTTCCTTGTTCTATTTCATTTAAAAATTCATACATATCAAACTAATCATTCTTTTTAATCCTCCAAAGCTAAAACATTCTTCCTTCTTCTTTTCTCTCTGACTGATAAATTGATAAAAATCATTCATTATAAATGATAACACATAAACTTTCCATCTTTTTTTTTTCAATTTAATTTAAAGAAATTTAATTTTAAAAATTTAAATTTAATTTCGTCCTCTTTGCATAGTTTACTTCTTTCTTTCTTTTTTTTTCTAATTGATAAGATAATAAAAAAAAATTATTACATAAATTAGCAAATTGAATAGTTACATCATCTCTTCTTACCTCTGAACTTAGTGCTTATCAATATTTATCAATAAAATCAATGTCAATGCTAATCTAATCAAATTGATAATCAATGCTAATCTAATCAAATTGATCTGAAAAAATAAAACAACAAAAAAAAAAAGTTGATCAGAATTTTTTTTTTTTTTTTTAACAGATATGAAACATTTTAAAGTTTAATATTAAAAAGTTTGAAAAATTATTTAGAACAATTTTTTATAAAATAGAAAATAAAGTTTTCTAAAAAATTCTACAAACTGAAATAAAGAAATAATTTCCTTTTCTCAGTTTTATCATTTAGAAAAGAATTATAAGTTTATAATTTAGAAACATGAATATATCGGAAATGAAAAAAAAATTGAAATATTACATGTTTTCTTTTTTAAATATAAACTTAATTATTACTTTTTGTTTTTTTTTCAACTTCTTTACCTAACTATAATTGATCAATGAAAATTAATTAGATATAATTAATTTCCAGCGTATTAATTTGAAAAAAAAAATTTTGCTAAGAAACTCTTTTTCTAATTTTTGAAATTTATTTTTGATTTGTTTCAATTGCTTCCTTTTCATTTTTCATAACTATTTTCCACTTCTCTTCAGCAGCAAAAAAATTTCAAATAGTTAAAAACAAATTTAGGTATAAAACGAAATTTTTAATTTGAATTTTTAATATCAAATTAAATGAAAATCAGTTTATATTAGTACCAAGCAAAAAATAATTTCCTTTTTTCTGTCAACAATTTATAAAAGTTAAAAAATTAAAGTGTTAAGGTTAATTTTTAGAATGCTTTTTCTTCTTACTTTTATTTTTTCGTTTGTAACTCTAAGTTTTATTTATTTATTTTTTTTTTTTTTTTTTTTTGAAAATTTATGAATGTTGTAATTAAATTGATATAAACAAAAGCACTGATATTTTATTAGATCACTTTTTTCATTAATAAAATATTATTTTTTTTTTTTTCTTAACGATATGAATTATTTTAAACGATTGCCAGATGTTACAAATTATTAAAAATAAACTACAATAACTGTTCAGTTTTGAAATAATTTTTAAAATATGTTTAAAAAGCTTGCAAATTTCAAAAAACCTTTTTTTTTTTTTTTAGAGGTTAAAAGCTTGGAAAAAAATTTTTAAACAAAACCTGGCAATATTTGCAAACATTTTAGTCTTGCTTAATCAAATATTTTCATTAGTTTTGATTAAAATTTAAATTTTGAAATGTCAACATTACCGTAAATTTTTGTCACCAAATTTGATGGAAAATTAAAATTGAAGAAAACAGATAAAAATAGTTGTGATTTGTTATTATATATAGATTTAAAGAATTCTAAATTATCATTTTTGAAAGTTTTTCTCATTGCAGAATGAAGTAGGCAAAATTTTTTCTTTTTCATTTTTTTTTTTTTTTCCTAAAATATATTTTTTTTTGATTTAATTCAAATAGAAACAATAATTTGATGTTAAAATTTGAAATAGTCTTTTTCAAAGTTATCCATTGCTCTGTTAACTCTATTAAATTGATTTCCTTTTTTTTAATTCATAATTTTTATTTTTTAATTAAAAAATTTGTAGGTACCATTAGCTGTAAGTACCATTAGACACATTATGTTTTATCGCGTTAAATGCGCTAAAAAACAGGTTGCGCCCATTTTACTATCGTCGACTTACTTATGCTAACTACATTTTAAATAAAACTTTATTTTCGTTTTTTTTTTTTTTTTTTTTTTTTTTTATTGCAAAAGTTTATATTTGAAATAATATTTATTTATTTTATGATATTTCCAATCTGTTTTATTCTGAATTGCTATACGATATATAGTGTATACTTAAAATGATAATGATAAAAAAGTAGTAAATTTTTTTATGAAATATTTCAGAAAAATTTATTTATTATATTTCTAACTTGATAACTTCCCAACTATACTAATTTAAAAAAAAATTTGCGCTAAAATTTGCTGCAAATTCTTACTTTGTCTGTTTTTTCAAATTTTTTATTTCTTTTTTAAGTTTCTTTTTTTTTTTTTTAAAAAAAGTTGATTATTTGAATAATATTTCAAGTTTAATCCGATTTAATAAAAGTTTGAGAATAATAAAAAAAAAAAGGAATAAATTTTGAATTTCTCTGTATTCGATTTTTTTTTTTCTATTTATTAATATTTAAATATGTATATATTCAGCGCTCTCTCCATATATCTTTATTTAAAAAGTAAAAAATAATAAAGAAATTATTCGAAAAAAAAAAAAACACTAAGCATTAAATGAAAATTTTTATCGATCAATTTTAATCAGTGATAATTTATGATCAATAGTATCATCTAATCAGTACTAGTTTAATTCAATCAATCATATTCAAACTAATTCATATCAAAATGTCTATTTTATCTGATTTAAGTATTACTTAATCAACATTACAATCCATTTAGTATGCATCACACTAATCAGTGCTGTTATCTTTCTTATCAGTGTTATAATATAGTGCAATCAGTGTGGGAAATATTTGTAATTTCATTTGTGCATCATTGTTGAGAAGATATCTGATAATGGGGAACGAAGATATACTGTATGATACGGGGAAAGGGGGGGGGGAATACGAGTCTCAGATATTTGTGGAAGATATTTATCACTCATTAAAATTGTTTAAATAGTTTTATTTTATATGTTTAAATTGAAAAAAAAGAAATTAGTGGAAAATAAAATTGATTATAATAAAATTAAAATTGGAATTATTAATTTATTTCTGGTAGCAAATGGTATACTACTAATTGACCTAGGTAATAAATAAATGAATACTAAGTGATAGGTAAATTAATTAATCATTTCAATTTGTTTTTAATATTTAATTGCAACAAAGCAATTTTGGTCACATTTTTGCTGATTAAATTAATTGCAATTTCTGCAAGTAATTAATGGAACTATTAAAAATTCCATAAATAATCAAATAGATAATTTTTTCTTTTTTCTTTTTTTTTTAAACCATTGAAAAGAAAAGGAAACAATCGATTGAGAAAAAAAGTTGCATAAATGTTTGATAAAAAAAAAAAAAAAAAAAAAAAAGGAAGAAATTGGAATAATATTTTGTTTAAATGTTGAAGTTTAGCTAATTTTTTTTTTTTTTTTTTCACTTTAGTAAATTCAAAACTAAAATGAATTGCTCAATTTTCTTTATTTGTTTATTTGTCCAATTATTTATTTCATTTATTTACTCATTTATAATGCCAATGACATAATCAGTAGATTAAAACTCCATTAGAATATGTAAATTAGCTAATTACAATTTCATAGATTGCTTATTTGTTTATACTTCAACCGATTATCTGATCTAAGTATTACCTAATTAAAGTATAATCAAAGGATGAGAAATAAGATGAAATCAAAGAGCTAATATCATATTTATTATTTTATAAATTTTAATCTCAATTTATAACTTTTGCAAACTGAAAAAAAAAAATAAAAGTTTTACTTTTATGATTCTTCATTTTTTTTTCTTTTTCTTCAGCGATGATGGCTTTCATTGGCAAGCATTAGCAATTCCCGACAAACTTATCGCAACAAGGTTAGTGAAAAAAAAAAAAACGAAAAATTCTAAAAAAATTTTATAATTTTTGAAATTATAGATTGAAATACTACTATACCATTAATTTCTGAAATTTATAAAATGAAATATTGTTAATTTAATGTGTGAAATTAATACATAACAAATTAATTAAATTAATACATTAATTAAATTAACCAAATTATATTATCACCAAACTCATATTTAACAACAATCTCTCTTCAATCTTTTTTAACATAATATATTATTTGTTGGTGCAAAAATTTTCTAATAATATTTTTAATATTGAGAAAAAAAAATGAGAAAAATTTGTTAAATAAAAAATTTTTAGTCATCAAAAAAAAAAAAAAAAAACGCATATCTAAGTTATATTCAAACAGTAAAAAAAAAAAAAAAAAAAGGAAAAGATTTGAAGTTTTTGTATAAAAGTAATACTTACTGTTCTTTAGGTATACATAACTTAAAAGTTATGTGCAAATATCACATACCATAAAATATTTTATTTCAAATTTTGTTCAATTTTTTTTTTTGTGCAAATTATAGAATAAAAATTAGACGTTAAAAAAGCGGCGTACGTCATTTTTTATTAGTCATAAAGAACAAAAAAAAAAAAAAAAAAGTGCAAATAAATTTATCAAACGTTTTATGCATTATGGAAATTTAGTATGCATCAAATGATGAAAGGATGAAAGGATGAATGAATCATTTGATTAATTTAAAAAAATTTTTGAAATTAATACATACAAATTTCTTCCATTTAAAAAGTTATAATTTTACATTTATTGAAATGATTAAAATGAAAAAAGCAAAAGTCTAAAAAATTTTCATTCAATTTTCAGAAAATAAATTTTAACAAAATTTTCTCATTTTTTTTTTTTTGTTCTTTGTTATTAAAAGTATTAAATTAGAAATAAACAAAATTCATGTAAATTTATTTTTATCACAGTTGTAGCATTCATAGCAATAATATTTTTTTAAACGAATTATTAATTTTTATTAAGTTAAAATTTCAATTTCATTCTTAATTTTTTTCATTAAATGTCACTTTATTAGCCTTATTCAATTATTTTTAATTCCTTTTTTGATTTTTCTTTTTTTTTTTCCCTCTGCCACATTTTTTTTCTTGGAAAAAACTTCAAACAAATTCTAATTTAAACAAATTTTTATTTCAGTTCAGTAAATTATTGAAAAATAACTTTCTACTTTCACTCATATATTTTTCAATTCTTTTTTATTGAAATTTTAATCAATTATTGAATAAATTTTTCCACTAAAAATAAAATAAAATAAAATAACTAAAATATATAAAAAAATATGTAAATAAAATTTTGGTATTATTGAGCTATAGAAAATAAATTTGATATTCAAAAATGCTTGGCAAAAAAAAAAAAAATTACATAAAAGCAAATTGCAGATGGTAATTGTAAAAGAGCTGAAAAAAAAAAAAAGAAACAAGGGTAAAATGATTAAAGCAATATACCCGCGGGAAAAAAAAAGGGAAAGAAACAAAGAAGAGAAAAAAAATGTTTAAGCAATATACCCGCGGGAAAAAAAAAACATTTTGTGAATAGTAAATAAAGTGATTGATAAAAAAAAAAAAACTTACCAACATTGCTAATGCTTATATGAAAGATTTGTATAGTTTTGAGATAAACAACAAAAAAAAAAAAAAAAAACAAAAACAAAAACAAAAATTGAAATTAATTAAAATGCGAAGGAATATTTGATGAAATAAAAATGAAACAAAGAGACAAAATAAGCAATTATTTTGTTATTAATTGTATTATTGTTTTGATATTTTAATAATTATTTTACAATTATAAGCGAATAGTTTAGAGTTTGTAAAATGAATTAAATTTTGGTAATTTTTTTTTCTAATTTTCATTTTAGGACATTTTAGGATTTTTTTCCTTTTTTTTATATAAAAAATTAACACTAGTTTAGAGTTTGTAAAATGAATTAAATTTTGGAATTTTTATAATTTTCATTTTAGGACATTTTAGGATTTTTTCCTTTTGTAAAATGAATTAAATTTTGGTAATTTTTTTCTAATTTTCATTTTAGGACATTTTAGGATTTTTTCTTTTTTTTTATAAAAAATTAACAGAAATTGTTAGTATCATTATGATAAAAATTGTTAAATAAATTTTAATTTTTTTAATGTAAAATTCTTATTTTCACTTCAAATTTAAATAATATTCATTATGATATTAGCATTGATATTTTTATCAAAAAATGTTTACAATACTAATAAAAAAATAAAATAAAATAAAATAATTCATCTAAATTATTTTAAATTTTAGGTTGATAAATTAAATTGGATCTTTATTCAACTGATTGTATTAAATAGTTTCATTTTTTTTTTTAAAAAAAATTTTACATTTAAATTTTAAATTTAATTTATATATACTATTTACTAATCGTTAAAATGATATATTATTCATTTGTATTTTGAATAATTGTCAACTAAAATTTTATTCATCATTTCAATTATTTATATCTTTTTGCTTCTTCTCTTTTTTTTTTTTTTTTATAATCTTTAAAAATTTTAGAAATTTATTTTTCAGAAAAACCACAACAACAACAACAAGCTTATCACAATCGATGAATTCATCAAAATATAAAAATAGCAAATCATTGGAAGTATTATTGAGTAATTTATCGCTTTCAGCATCACTACACATAACAAATTTAACAACAACTTTAGCAACTGATACAATGATATCAACTGATAAAACTGCTATCACTAAAACAATTCCACAAACGACTAGTACAGATGCAAAATTTATTAATGGAATTTTTATTACTGAAATTCCTAACGGTGATAAAAAACATAAAATAGTATCTGTTACTGATACAATTCCTCATACTAAAGTAACACCTAAAACTATTCCTATTAATATGATTGATACTACGATAACAATATCAACTGATAATCATTCTACATTTTATGAAACTAATTCACTGATAACATCTATTTTTAATTCACACTTACAATCTACTCTATTTGATGATAAAAAATTATCAAATTCAAAACTAGTAACTAATTCACTATTAAAACATATTATTTCTTCTTCTCCTACTACAAATGCTATGATAATTTCATCGTCACAAAATGCTAATATTGCTGCTGGAGCTCAAATTACTGAAACAAATTTTACAAAATCATATTTGCATACTGAGCGTAAAATTTATAAACAACAACAACAACGGAAAGAAGATGAATTAAAAGTTAAATCAGACTATAATCGATTGAAAGCAAATAGTACTATTAGTCCAATTATTACTTATAGCCAATCAGCGCCAAAAACACAATTAGATCAATGGGAATGGGAAAGAAAACAACAACAACAACAACAACAACAACAACGACAACAAGCAGTTAATCACGAATGGATCAACAATAAAAATAATAACAATGGTGATAGTGATAATCATAATAACCATAATATTTTTAATAATAGCCACAGAATATCATCGTCATCATCATCATCATCATTATCATTATCAACATTACTGTTATCATCATCTATTTTTTTCACTTTACCATTTTCATTATTTTCATTTCGATTCCTACTATCTTTATGACATCTTATTAAATATTTTTTCTTTTTTATGCATTTCTTTTAAGTGAAATTAAAAAAAAAAAAAATATTGGACGTATTTTTTTTTTCTTCAGATATTGTTTCATTATTACTATTGTTGTATATTATATGTATTTATAATTATCATGTAAACATCATATATTCATTATTTTATTACAAGTAAATTGTAATCATGGTTTTTTTTTTTTTTTTTTTTAAATTAAAAAAAATGGCAATTAACAAAATATTAAATTAGTTAAAAAAACCGAATCTAATTTAAAATTTGCACATCAATTGTAATATCGAATAATTTCACATTTTTTTTTAAATATACAAGTCGGATGACTTGATTTGAGTGTAATATCAAATTGTAATTTTAAAATTGTAATTTTTGAAATCATTGAATTTTAAAATCATTTCTGCCCAAAATTGGTAACTCTAAGAAAATGGAAATTATTTTAATCATAATTGATATCACATCAAATCAATGTAAATTCACAATTTTTTTTTTTTTTTTTTGCAATCTAATCTTTATTAATTCAAATATAATTGAAATAAATTTATTCAAGTAATTTTTGCATTAAAGATTACAAAATTTGCTTATAATTTGAAGAAGCAATCATTTAATAAACTGCCATTCGTTAGTTAGTTACTTATAAAATTATATTTGATCACAAATTATTGTAAACAAAAATATTCACAAATAACAGAATTAACTTATCACTTTGTAAAATAAAAGAAAATTATATTTATAGCATAGCATTGTTTTATCCTAAAATTAATCAATTGAGTTTACATCGCTTATGTCAAGAATTAAATTAGGCGAAATTTCTCGAATTTATATTTTGTTAGATTTAACTTAATTTTTTATTATTGATAAGAGTTTCTTGTTGTTAATTATTTTCTTCCTCAATAATTCTTTTTTCTTTTTTTTTTTTTTTCTTTTTCACTTTCCAGCGATGTTATTTTAATGAGTAAAATCTCCTTAGTATAATAACTAACTATTTCGGATCGAAACAATTTAATATATTCCATTTTCAATTAAAGAGGAATAGACACTAATTTTATTACGAATTATTGAAATGCTTGAAACTGTAAAATTTGAATGATCACACACACACACACACACACACACACACACACACAATTAGGGAAAGCAGAAAATGCTTGCACCAAGGGAAAATAATTCAACCTTAAATTTCGCTTCTAAAATGATTTCATTATTAATTAAAAGTCTAATGCAATGCATATTATCATTATTAAATTAAAATAAGCAAAATTTATGTGATGCCGAATTTATAATACCGTTTATTGGACCGATTACTCTTTACGTAAGTAATCTATTTACGTATCTGTAACACGCTTCCGTATCTACCAAATTTGAAATGAATTATTCATTTACAAGTACACAGCCAATTCTAATTCATATATAATTAAAATTTTTTAATTTCGTGATTTAATTTTCAGTTTAGAATAAGCTATCACCTGAAGACTGAAGATAGGCTTTGTTTTAGAGATAGTACATAAAATTCTATTCAAGCATAAAATTAAACAATTCATTCATTCAAGCAATATTTCATAGAGAAATTTTTAAAATTCATAAATAAAACAGCTTCTTCAGTTTTGGAAGAACTTTATGTTCAATTAATTAATACAGTCGAAATTTTGTGTCTCATCAAACAACTTTTTGCATTAGCTTTGAATCCGGTAAAGAACATAAGAACTTCATACCTGTCACAATGTCACAAACGAATATCATATGAACACAGGTAATTCAAATATGTCTTGTGAAAAAAAAAAAAATGCAAACGTTTTCTTTCCATATTTACAATAATTAATAACTTACTTCCAACGTAAGCTACTTCCAACGTAAGCACATAGCACTATTAAAATTTCAGTAAATTAGAAAAAGAAGGGAACCGATTGCGTATCACAATAAGAAATCAAAATTCTACAATGAAATTTTATAAATCTAAACAAAAACCATCCATTTCCAATGCGATTTATCTTCTTCGTGAAACATTTGACAAGAAAAAAGGATATGAGCTATAAATTCCTATGCAACAATGGATGAATTTTTTGAATCTGGCACGAAATTATCATAAAAATTGCGCGTTGCTTGTGTCATCAATTCTTGTGTTGATTCCGGTAAATGTCCAATAACAGTACCTAAAAGTGAGTTTAATCTGGAATATATCTATTATATATGCATAAGAAATGAAATTATTTCATTTTATTGCAAAATTTTTTCATACATTATTTAGATCTTGAAAAAAAAAAAAAAAAATCAAATTAAATTCCCATTAAAAAGCTCCTTCGTTGTTCAATTTACAAAAAAAAAAAAAAAAAAAAAAAAAAAAAAAATAAATAGTTAAATGACAGAATGACAAAAACACACCTGGATTACCTCCTACAATAGAAAAAGGTGGAATAACAGCATCATGTGGCACTACTGTATTTGGCAATACTTGTACACAACTTTTAATTATTACACTACGACCAATTATAACATTATTGCCAATATGCACAAATGCTCCAATCTCTGCAGCCATTACTATACAGTCCTCAAAAATAATAAATAAATCGAAAAGAATCAAAAATTATAATCAACCACAGATAAATGGAATTTATCGAAATTTTTAATCTAACATATATTAGTTAATTTTTAATTTTGTACACATTTGTATGAACCTCACTCCCAAAAAGAAAAAGAAAGAGGAATAAGAGAAATATTAGTATAAAACTTACATTTCCAATAAATACATGATCACCAATATGCACAGGAAAGAATGTCAATCCTTTACTGAAACGTTTATAAGACGGTCGAATGATAGTACGTTCACCAACAACACAGTATCTACCTGTTCGAATATTATGCATATCACCACGTAAGATACAATCTTTCATCAATGTTGACTAAAATGTAGCAAAGAAAAATAATTAACATTAACAAATTTAAAATTAACAAATTATGATGTAAAATTCTCGAAAAATTAAAAGAGCAATGAGCTTGTCATTATTTCTTTAATAAATTAAAATATTAGCTATCATACTCATCAGACACTAATCATTAAAGTATCAACTATCACAATATTCCTAATGCATTATAATCAAATTTAAATCAAAAACGATATGATAACATACAGTCAACATTAACTTACTTTTCCATTCAATACAATATTTTGACTACCAAATAATCTTGATTTCCGATTTACTTTGTTACCCGTAGCTGTTTCCACATATTCAGATTTATCATAATAAATCATTTGAAGATCCATCTAGAGACCCAATCAGTTTTCCGAATATTGATAAAACGAAAGCACTTTCTTTAGAGAATTATAAACTAAATTAATTAAAAAAAAATAAAAAAAAAAAATGAAACCAATCAATTTGCTATAATTAAAATTAAAACCAAAAGGTCTAATTAAATAATGAAAATGAGCAAAACGATATCAGAATTATAGTAAAAGTTATACCCAGTGAAGTTAAAAGCCTGCATATTCAGCTTCTATCCTAACGAAATTAAGCAAATCAAAGTATTTTCGAAACAATAATTTATCCAAAAAAAAAAGCAAAAAGCTTTCTAAACTCCTAAAAAAGCAAAGTTAGAAGAACAATAAAACAGATTTAATAGGATTTTAACAACTCATAGAGACTTGAATTTCATTAAAATAATAATAATACTAATAATAACTCCAAACACTATACAGCTTATGATTGTTAACTGACAAGACAATGTCATGTTAGAAAAACAAGCTCAGACACTTTCTGCACTATGCGGTCGGTCACTGTTAACAAAGGATACTTTGTCTTTTTCTTTAAATCAAGCAAATTAATTAATTAAGAACCTGGCCAGCATTTTTTCTTTTAATTCAAAAATAAGCTTCCAAACATAAACAAGTATGGAACTTCCTGCAAAACGATGCATATGAAAAAATTTTGAAAACAGTATTTATTTCAATAATTTCAAACATAACGAAAATGAATTTTTTTTTTTTTTTACTAGCACACATAAAATTTGAGCCATTCATTTACATAGTATGATCGAAAAATTTTTTTAACAAATACATTTTAAAGTGTGGCCAGAAAAGAAATAGTAAGAAACAAACAATTTTTAAAACAAAATATTCTGAACTCACTTTTTAATATGTGAAATAGCTCGTAAACAATTAGTGTAACCCGCTGCTATAGCTGTACAACTAATTTAATCAATAGCTAATTACTATGATAATTCGGATATTTACTGCCATGTTTAATCAACCAAAAATGACACATTATCCTATTTCCTTCATCTCAAAAAAACTTCACAATGTTAGTCGTCAAATCATTTCGTCTAGCCAATGCGTATTAATAATATTTCAGCTAAATAAATTTAAAATCAAACTGAAATCTTTAACCATATATATATCGCATCTACAACTCTAGCACCATCTCTTATCTTATATTTGAAATTAATAATTACCAAAAATATTAGGATATATAATTTATGTAGCGCATTTGTGCAAACGACAAACCCGATTAAACGTCTGGGATGGTTAGTCACCCCTTTGTATAACAATTAGTTGAAAATATCGATGAGATAAAAAAAGTTAATGCTTATGTTTAAAAAATCTTAGTTCAAAAAACAATAAATTAATCTACTTTTTTGACAAAAACAAAAAATAATAAACTAAAACATGAAAAATTAAGAAATTTTAGCACTATAAGTACTAAAAAGTTGCAGCAAAAAAAAAAGAATGATATAACAGTATCAATAATAGTGATAAAAATAATGATGAAATGGCTGCTGTCATTTCAAAAAGAAAATTCGAAAACTTTCTCAGTCCTTCAGCTAATTTCGGAAGAATTCGAATGGTAGAAAACTAAACTTTCTCTCTCTACTCCGACAGAGGAAACTGAAACTATTTGACTTAGCAGATTACTAATATAGGACAATTATCCAAATCCTTCCAATTCATATCAATATTCACGAATGAATTCAACAGATAAAAAATTTCTAGAAAAATGATGTCATGGAAGTGTTCAAATAATGTATGGTACCAAGACATTAAAAAGGAAATGATGTATAAAAACAGCAAATATGAAGTTTTCAGTATGAATTTAATTAAAATGAAAGCAAAAATCAAGGTGCTTTTTCGGAGTAAGACATGGTTCAAAACAATTCTTAATAAATATAAAAAAAAAATGTAAAGACAGTGACAATGATCGGATCGGGTAAATGTGATAAAAACAATAATAAACCCGGATAAATCATATAATCACATCGATATGTGAGGAGAACAAAAAGCATAACATGTTTATTAACTACAAGATCCGTAAGAAGATTTAGAATAATAACACCTTCCGTCTTTGATCGCAAGCTTCTTGTAAACTTATTATTCATTAGTGAAATTCACAAGTAGTTCTCACAACAGCAACTCATTTCAAACGACCTTTCAGTGTAAATTATTCTAAACAACTTCTTTTCTATTCTTAAAATCCAACAAACAAAACTTAATAGCTTTAATAATCTGCATCGAAATACTGAAAAAAAAAATTGAATGAGCGCAATGCGCAAATTGAAGAATGCGCGACTAGTTTCAACCTCATGCCGAAAATTCAGGTAAGTGCACCGAATACTGGATTGTGACGACAGATGCTTGGTCCCTTCTCCATGTATTCCGCTTTTGTATGTGCCACTTCGTAGAACTCAGGCTGGAAATTAAAGTTTTAAGATTGTTAAATCTTAAGTTTCTTTTAAAATTTTCATGAAATCTTTTCAATGAAATTAATTTATACATTTTTCTATAGGTTTATGCAAATTACAAAAAAAAAGAACGAAAATCAGGTAAACATTCAATTTTACAATGAAATGATAGCAGTCAACCTTTTGCTTTTTCAACAAAACCTATCGGGCAAACTTATAGCAGTAGGGGTAATTTAATAAAATGGATTTATGACTAACATAGTGGGTTACAATAGGAAGAAAATCTGCCGATTTTTTCAAACACTTCCTTTTCTCCTTCCTTGAATTTCTTTTCTTGTAAAAAAGGATTCAAATCATTTCATTTAACAGTATCACAATCATTCATTTTTCTTTCATTTTTTTGAAGACAAAAGCCTGTATGTTCATTTCTTTGCAAATATCAGCATAACAGAAACTTTTGATAAGGAAATGATTATGTACCGTATCTGCCAAAGTGCTACCGCCAAACCATACGGCATATCGCTGCATTTTGTGAGATATAACCTGGACGTCGATTGGTTTCGGCTGAAAAAAAAAGATTTCCGTTCATAACAAAAATAACTTCTTTGTTAATTTGAGAATGGAATAACTCGCAAAGGGAAGATAAATTCAAAATCAAAATGATGCAAAAGTTGCCAGTCTCATAAAGATAAGCCAGAAATCCATCATGGTTATTCGTAATATTCCAGTAAGTATTTTACCAATAAAAAATATTTCGATTACCGTTAACCGTCCCCCTGACAATTCCTCGCTCAATGCTAAGCGAGCGCTGGAAATTCGCTTGATATCACGCTGCATACGTCGGGCGAAGTCTTTGAACATTGTCGAACCGCCGGACAGAACGATATTCTCATAGAGACCACGACGCACATCAATTGGACATTGCTGAATTACGGTATCCACAATCTCAGAGATTGGTGCTGTGAAATCTGGATTAGCAAACTGAAACAGAGAAGTGGACTTCAAGGAAATGCATTGCATAATACATGAAAGAGACGAAAGAAAATTTTTTAATTAAAAATAGATAAAATCCACTAAACGAAGGTAAAACTCTTCAAATTCCAAAGAATTATCACATCAACCACCATGAAGATGATATAAACTTTACTTCCGGATGAAAAAAGATTTCTGGACCGAGAAATCGTTCATATCCCACATCAATAGTGAATGATTTTTTGGTGACACTATTTATTCCATCATATGTTTTGAACCATTTTGCTCCATCCGTATCATACTTCATAAATTCACGGAAGACGTCTGGACAAACATAACAATACTTTTCCTACAGTAAAGTCATTTACTGAACAAATTGTTTAATGACATAGCAGAGGAGACCCACCACAAAGTCTCTAAATCAACAAAAGAAAAGTCACTAACAAAATACTGATAGCAATTGGGCATGTACAGTTCATTTATCAGATACAATAGCAGAAGCAATAAAAAAAAAAAGGGCAAAAGGGTGTAGATGCTTCTTTTAAGAATATCCAGGCATAACGGGTTAGCAATGTCATAAATAATTCAATTGAATTAAAGCCGGAAATATAAAACTCACTTTTATCGATTTCGCAATTTCGTAACTTTGATCTGATGGCACTGTATTTTCGCGTTCGCGAAGTAACTGTTGTATAAAATAGGTAATATCCCGCCCCGCAATTGGTATATGTTTGATACAAGAACCGATTACATAACCTTCCGCAACAGGGATACAATGTGTTACACCATCACCACTGTCAACAACCTATCAAAATAATAATGCAGAATTTCAACGAAAGCTTAACTTCTGTTATTTTTCAGTTGGTCAGTGCTGAAAATATAAGTAAAAACACCAATAAACCAAATATAAAAAAAAGCAATGGATTTTCAGGGATTCTCAGATGCAAACTATTTAGGATTTCCTCGTTTTTGGACTTTTTTTTTTTTTGTAACCCTCAGTAAAGCAACTCATAGTTGGTATTTTCGCTTCTTTCTTAAAATATTTCTATTGCAACCTTATTTCAGCACCTTTTTCCTTCGATTCCGCAAGGGATAATACTGTTGCTTCAAGCTAAGGCCTTCACATAAAGGCAATATTCAGAACTACCTTTTCAAGCAATCTTGTTTATGAAAAGGAAACGCAGCTCACCAATCCTGTCAGTGAACGGTGTAGTAAATCTCGACTTTGCCAGGAAGCTGCAAGAGCTAACACAGCTTGTACAGCAATATATAAACCAGGCACGTTGAACGATTCAAACATAATTTCAGCTGTATATTCACGATTTTCCGGTGTATTTAAAGGTGGCTCAGTCTAGAAGTAATTAAAATCAAAAAATGGAAACTTTCAATTGACAAAAATGACTAACTAAAACTAGTGTTTTAAATCTTGATTACTAAGTGCAACTAATAAAATAAACAGAAGCGAAATAAAGCTAAATGAATTCTAAACAGCAATTTCATTTCAACTTTTGATTCAATTAATTATTTCAATTTTCCAAATTTTGAATTAAAAAAATAGCAAAAAGCGAGTAGTGGTATATGAATCGAGAAGGCAACATAAAATAAAGCTATTTAGAATTGTTAGTTTAGAATGGACGAAAGCGGCAAGCTACAAACCAATAAAAAATAATGATCTTCCGGTTCAGCTCGTAGATACTTGAAAATACATTGTTCCCAAAATCGTTCCATTAAATCCCAATCTTCCACAATTCCATGACGAATTGGGTACTAAATTAAGGGAGAAATAAGTAAGTAAACGTCAGTAATCAAATGAGTATATTCCTTTCCTAAATTGGATAAAAAATGAATAAACCATCACTGCTTACATAAAATAATCGTATTTTCAAATTAAACTATCTTGAAAAAAAAAAAATACTTTAACGGCATAATTAGCAGCACTCGGTGAAAGCGCTTCATCACCAATGTAGAAGTCAAGATCTTCAATTCGTGAACTAGTATTTATATTCCAGCGTAGTGTTGATGACTGAGAACCCACCTTCTCTCGTACTGCTATTGCTGCAAAGCGATAAAATTATATTCTAAGGTCGAAATTGGCTATAGGCGAGGAATATAAAATAGTATCTTAATTTCAATTTTTCCTTTTCTGTAATCTTCACAAAAAAAAAACTGCTAGCCTGAGGGGATAATAAACTGCGGTTCAGAATTTCCTGCATAACCAAGTTTTGTATACCTGAAATTACCATTAATTATAAGATGCACCAGCTGGTCTTTATTAGTTTAATTTTTCTGTTATTTCAATGAGAATCTTTAAATGTTCCGAGCATTCCAACATGTATTATCGCATAATTTCAATCGAAGTTGATGTCCAGTATTAAAATAAAGTAGCAATTTGTGAAGAATATGTACAATTAGAAAATGAGAAAATGAACAAATTTAAACTCAATTAACCGAAGTTCAAAATAAAGGAACCTAAAATCATGAGTTAAAAAAGAAATTTAATAATGAGTAAATGCTAACCCAGTTCCATTATCAATGACGCAAGCCGGTAATCGTCCAGCAGCCATTTCCGGGTACCTCAGTCTATAGACACCTCTTTGGACTCAGTTGCTATATCACTCAGTTTGCTAAGAAATGATGCTGAACTTTCCTGAAAACATAATAATTTGAAATAATGTTTTTTCCAAAAAAAAAAAAAAGAAAAACCTCACTTAGCTTATACATATAGAAAATCGTTGTGAAAACAGAATGAAATACAGTTCAACTGGAGAGAATTTTAATTAAATGCAAACTTTAGTAGCTTGAATTTAACATTTTTATTGCGATATATCCCGCTATTCCAAGTTTCAAGAGCAAACTTTTCCAACTATCAAAGAAGAAAGATTTGGAAAAAAAAACTCGCATTACAAATTAAAAAAAAAAAAAAAAAAGAAGGATTTCAAAGTGTTTGCTTGCACAAATTTTCATCCTGGTAATAAGTCTCGATAATAAAGCTTTACACGTTTTTTTTTTTTTTTTTTTTTCAAAAAATGACAGTATTCTCGTAAAAATCAGTGAACACCAGCAGATAATATGTCCTGATAACTCTGACTAACTTTATTCTCTACCAATCTAATAAAAAAATATTTCTGATAGTCACTAATTCATGAATTCCAACAGTCACACAATTTAAACCCCGCAACTCCGCGAAAAAAAAAAAAAAGCACCAGAGCAGATGATTCGTCATTTTTTACAAGGAGTAATGTAATTTCACAGATTGTTTGTGGCCCTCTTACTGTCCCGTTAAAACTGATTTCTTAACCCAATGCTTCGAACTCATTGAAAATATTTGAGGTAAAAGGATGGATGCGATTAATTGAAGGAAGAAAAGATATGTGAGAGAGTTGTAGAAAGTTTGGAAAATAGCACTGAAATGTAGGAAAAAAAGAAAACATTGAAAAATGATAGATAAGTTTGATAGCAATTTGGTTTGAGTTTAAATTATATTGCTTAAATTTATGTTCATTAAAGAATTTTGCATTGCATTTTATTAAATGATGCTAATGATTTAATTCAGTAATTAAATTTCTAATTTATCTAATTTAATTTGATTAAGAAATTGGAATATATTATTGTTATTATTTAATTTCATATTTATATAGTTTTATATTTATTTTTGTATTTTACTAACTTTTATATTGTGATGATAAATCTGTTATAAGCTGCTAATACTAATTAATTTACTTTGTTGTATTTGAGAAATTGTTGAAGATGATTTATTGGATTAACAAATATTTATTTCGATGTAATCATTTTTGTTAATTAAAATAAATAATCAATTAAAATTAATCTTTTTTTTTGAAGATGTTCGTTGCATCTTAATTATTTTGTTTTATTTTTTTTTAAAAGCTTCTTTATTTTTTCAATCTTAACGACTTTTTTTTTTTATCTTTAAAGATTTTAAATAATTTAAAAATCGTTTATGATGACATTATCTTTCATTGCATATATTTGTAAAGTAGTAAATATAAATAAATGGTTATACAAATCAAAAAAATAAAGTAATTAGTTTAAAAAAAGACAAAAAAAATAATTAGTAAATAATAAAAAAAGAAGTAGAAATATAAAAGAATGTTTTGATGAAAGATATCATCTATATTAATAATAGTAATAGTAGTAATAACAGTAATAATAGTGATAATAATAATATTAGTAATAATAATAAACAGTAATTAGTAATAATAATGATGAATAAATAATGGCAATAATAATTCTTACTATCATTATTCTTACTAATAATAATCACAGAAGAATTAATAATAACAGTGATAAATGATAACAATAATAAATTATAACTTAATTAAAGTAATAATAACAATAATAAATTATAACTTAATTAAAGTAATAATAACAATAATAAATTATAACTTAATTAAAGTAATAATAACAATAATAAATCTTAATTAAAGTAATAATAACAATAATAATAAATTGTAACCTAATTAAAGTAATAATAATAACAAATTATAACCTAATTAAAGTAATAATAATAATAAATTATAACTTAATTAAAGTAATATAATTATTCTCGTCAATATTGGTGGATTGGTGTATTTACAGATATAATTGGAAGAGACTAATAATAATATAATTGCAAAGAGAAATTCTGATGCAAATTCTAAACAATAAAAAAAAAAAAAAGTATAATGAAAATGGATTGTTCTACTCAAAAGTTAAGTTAAAATTTCAAATACTGAAATCTCAGTGTAAAACATTTTGTTAGCTCTTAAACACTGTAATGAATTTAATTAAATAAAAGTATTGATTAATTTAATTTGATTAATTGTAAAGTCAAAGTTTACACATCAATTTCAACCTGAAAAAATATTAAAAAAAATAAAAAAATAACTTTCTTTCACTTTTTCTTTTGAATAATGAAAAGTTCTGTTAGATAATAATTTTTATAACGTAGCTATCGCTTAGTAATCAAATAAAAATTATCATTCGATGCTTTTCTTCTTGATTTGATTTTTTTTTTATTTGTCATTTTTGTTGCTCGTTCCAAGTTCACATTAACATTTATTCATCAAAATGTAATAGAAATTTAAGCTAAAGTAGTAAGAAGTTAAAGTTTTTTCTTATCCAATTTCTAAATCTTTTAAATGAACAAGGAAAGAAAATTGATAAAAAAAAAAAGTGAAAAAATTAAAATAAAAAAAAATAGAAGTAAAAATTAAAATAAAAAAGAAGAAAGAAAGAGCTATAATTATCAGTGCTACTATCGTCTAAGTTATTTTAGTACTTCTGTTCCAAATTTAAATAAAATTAAATAGTCATGCATTATTTTTAGATCGTTTAAAATGGTTAGAATTTCATTTTTTTTCAGAGAGAGAGAGAGAGAGAAAGAGAAAAATTTAAGATGAAAATTTTAGTACCACTAAAATTAAAATATTTATTAATTCTTAATCTTGAAAAATATTTCATTTTTCACTCTGTTTAATTTATTCACTCCATCCTAAGTATTTTGCAACTCATTTAGTAATTTGTTTTCGTTGTTTTCATTTAATGTTGTCTTCAGGAATACTCGCAAATTGCTGCAAAACTATTATTTACTAAGATTGATTTGATATAATTATAGATATTAACTGAATTATTATCAACTTTCATATCATTCTGACAATCATTTATTCTTAGTATTTGAATTCTAAACATTGGTTATTAAGAATTAAAAGCATTTATTAATTGCATACGATAAGATAAAATAATAATGCAGTAGAACAAGGCTATGCTTAATTATATTGCAAATTTAATGCAAAATTTTAATTATCAATAAAAGTAACAGTTTAAGAAAATTTAATGTTTAAAACTTTTATGCTGCTATTATTGAGGAAAATTTATGTTATGAAAATGATTAAAGCATTTTGCTATAATAAAACTAAACTTTTTTTCTTTGCAAATTAAATATTATTAAGCCTTTTACATCAGCAGCTAAGGCCTATGAGGAATTGAATAATAGATAATCTACATTCTCATTTATTTTATTCTTTTACTCTCTTTAAAAGCAAAAGAAAAAAAATTGAAAAAATATATATATGGAAGTTTGATGACGTCAACAAAATAGCACTCTGCTTAATGGCAGAAGCAAAATACATACTACATTTGTGTGGCCAAGTAAATCGATTTTTCTTAACCGATCTTTTTGGCTCAGCTCTTCATCTATTATTAGCACTTGCCAATTCTAACTAAATCTAAAAGAAAGATTTCAGTGGATATTCAGTCAATTCTCTCCTGCAAATTTATAAAAATTATTTCCTGTGAAATGCTATTATGACTGGAACAATGATAACGATACGAAATTATCATTCATATAGCAATTCATTGCTGCTACTAATTATCATGGTATTAACGATCGATCAGACTATTCAACAATTAGATTTTGATTATAACTATAAGAGTATTTACGGTGAAAATAACAAAATTAATGATAATGGTGATATTGATAATGATGATGATGATGATGATGGTGCTGGTGGTGGTGGTGGTGGTGGTGGTGGTAACATTGCTGATATTGATAATCAAAATATCGCTTCATTTCGATATTATGAAGATTTGGATAATACAAATGACAAGGTTTTAATTAATCATTTGTTTATGTTCCTTGTTTGTTTTTGATTAATTTAAAAAAAAAAAAAAAAAAAAAACTTTTTTAAAATGAATTTTATAAAATTTTTTTTTTTAATGCGTTTGTGTATTTTCTCTTAGTAAATTTTATGATAAAATAACAATATCTATCAAATTTTTTTTTTTTTTTTAATTTTAAAAAATTTATTTATTTTTTATAATTACTTAAATCCTAATCCTAACAAATCTCTGATCAAATATATTTTTGTTTCATATTATCTTCGTCGTTTTTTTTTTTTTACTTTTAGTTTTTGGATAAATATATTTCTATTATTCGTTTAAAAATTTTAGGCATATATTTTACCAATCTCAAAACCAATTGGGCAAGTAACAGGACTTGGAATTAATTCGCATGGATACCTTTTAGCATTTCACAGAGCCGATCGAACATGGAACAAATGGTATGACAAATTTTTTTTTTTTTTTTTTATTCTGAAAAAAAAAAAAAAAAAAAAAAATTTCAATAATAAAAATTATTTCCAAATCATTAAAAATGTAAAAATGTTGCATGAAAAATTTTGATAAATTATTCTTTCATCGAAATGTCAATTAATTGATTTTACAAAATCTTTGAGGTAATATTTTTAGTTATTAATGAAGTTCTGATAAAATCAGTTAATGATTCAATTTTTCACAAATATTATACAAAAATATTTTAAATCATATGAATAGTATTTTACATTTCGTAAATATTATAAATAAACATTGAATGAACTGAATAATATTTTAACATAAATTTTAATTAGGCATTCCAAATTAATTCTTTAATTGACATCGTTATATCTATTCCAGTGGAAATATAATTGATTAACACGAAAGGAAACATGATGCAAATAGATAAATAAATAATTTGATAAATAAAAAATTCAAAATTTTTTAATAAAATTTTCATTATTTTATGCAATCAAAAATTCCTTTAGTCTTTCTTTTAAAAGAAAAAAAAAATTGAAATAATTTTAATTTTATGATCAACAAAAAATCCGAAGTTCTTGCTACTTGATTTTGTAAATTTTTAAAAATTGAAATTATTATTTGGAACTCATTTTTTTTTTTTTACTGCGAAAGAAATATTGTTTAGAATTGTGATTATTATCTTTTATCGTTTTATAAATAAAGCACTTTAAAATTAAAAGCAAAGAAAAAATCAATGATTTAATTTGATGATAACAACATTTTGATTAAAATATGAAATTGCCAACTGTTAATTAATATTTCTTTTCTTATCATTATTGAGTCGATAAAAAAATGTTATCATTGGTTGATTTCTAATTGAAATTATCCATGAAATAAGCAAATGATTCGTACAATTTTTTTTTTTTTTTTTAACTATTCATTAGAGTAAATTCGAGACTTACCCGTAAGGAGCTGCTTTGTCAATCAATTTGCTAGAATCCCTTTAAAATAGTCGATGGAAATGCTTCAAGAAATTTGTGAATTCTTTTTTTTTTTTTTTAAATTTTTTTAAATTTGTGAATGAACACAGGGATTTTCTTATTTAAAATTCGTTTTTTTTTAAGTTTTTAAAATATTATAATTGATACATAATATTTGATTTCTAATAATTCATTTATCTTATTTGCTTAATCAGAATTCAGCTAATTTTTTCAAACAATAAGAAAAACCATCAATAAGATTTTTTGAATATACCCAAACTAATTAATCTAAAAAATAAAAATGATAAAATTAGAAGAAAAGATTATAATTCTGAGTAATTTACTTTATTTCACTATTAATTTTACTGTTATTGAATTATAATTATATCAAAGTTAGAAATTTTATCGCTTTAAGATTATCTAAACTTTTTGAAATTACAGTTTTGTAATTAAGAAATGAATTGTGACAGTATATTATGCATTACAATAATTTTTTTTTTTGAATGATAATTAATCATTGTTAAAGTGATAAAATGCAACTTCAGTGATAATAATAGATCTTTCTGATAATTTTGCATAAATTTTAGGTCATTTGATAAATACAATAAATTCAATGCAAGTTTTGGTCCAATAAAAAATGCAACTATTTATGTGATTGATCCAAATTCTGGTGAAATTGTAAAGGAATTTGGTGAAGGTATCTTTTACATGCCACATGGGTTGACAGTGGATAGCAATGATAATATTTGGGTGACAGATGTTGGATTACATCAAGTAAGATTTATTCAAATTATTAAATTTTTACAAGAAATATCAGTTTTTTTTTTTTTTTTAAAGCTAATTTATCATTTCTAATTTAACAATCATTTCGGTATTCTTTTTTTTTTTTTTTTTCTATTTTTTTTTTTTTTTTTTTTTTTTTTTTTCTATTGTTTGTTTCAAATTTTAGCTAATTATGAATGAAATGTGATCATTTTTTTTTTTTTAGATATTCAAATATGACAAAAATTTTAAATTATTGATGAAATTGGGTGAACATTTGAAACCAGGTTCTGATAAGAAGCATTTTTGTAAGCCAACTGATATTGCGATAGCACAAAATGGACATTTCTTTGTGGCTGATGGTTACTGTAATAATCGAATCATGAAATTTGATGAAAATGGCAAATTGTTAGCAGAATTTGGTCATTCAAATGGTTTGTTTCTTGAAGTAAACAATTTGAAATTTACTTAAAATTGGAATGTTGATAAACTCATTAATAATTTAATTAGCGTAATTAATTAAACTTTTTAGTAGATTTATGGCACACATACAAATAACTCAATTTTAATAATTAAAGAAAATTTATTATTATAAAATCAAAAAATATATCCACATATATTTGAATATAAGAAATAAATTTTATCACAAAAAATTAGATTTAGAAAAAAAAAAAGAAGAAATACAAGTTCTCAAGATTATCAAATTTAATATAGAATTTATAAAAAAAAAAAAAAAAAAATATTTTATTTACTAATTCATGTATGCTAGTTGATATATTTTAACAAAAATAAAAAATATTTTAACCTTATCAATGTTATCTTTTTATCATAGAAATTATAGAAATAATCAAAATATAATATTTTTTTTTTCTTTTGTAAACAAATTTTTTTGCTTACTTTATTCAAACTCTACTATTTCAGTTATTTACATTAAACATTAGTAATTTTTACTTCTTTGCTACTAAAAATAAGCAAAACTTTATGATAAATCATAGAATGGAGAAAATAGGAAATAAAATATATTAATTTTCTAATTATTATCCTTCAATTAATAATAGTCATTAACTGCTTGTAATGAATTCATTAAAATTTTACGATTACCAAATAAAATGTAATTATTGTTTTCATATTGGTTAAACAATTTTTAATATTGATACTATTATAATAGATTTTATACTTCAGTGTATAAAAAATACGAATAGAATTGAAAAATATAATATAATTTGATTAATTGTAACAATGAATTTAGTAAAATATTTGAGTAAAAATCATCAAAAAACTTTGAAAAATAGAAAAATGAAAAGAAATTTTAGTAAAAAAAAAAAAAAAAATGAGAAATAAAATGGTAATATCTATTTTTCTCTTCTTTTTTTTGATCCAGAAGATTAATCATAATTGATAAGTTTTTTTGAGTGAAATAAATTTTTGTTTTTTTTTTTTCTAATGTCTTATTTGTAAATGTATTATAGAAGAAATTTGGCAAACAAAGAAAAAATGAAAAAAATTTTTGAAGGAATTGGAAAATCATTCATTTCCTTCGTTTTTTTTTTTTTCGCTTTTGTTGTTTAAAATTATAGAATCAATCATTTTAACTATATGAATGTCATATTTTGACAACAAAAAGTTTAAATAATACAATCAATCAATAAGCACAAAGTATTATTTAAGTTTTAATTTTGTATTACTATATGTTTTTTTTTTGTCGTTTTTTTTTTTTAAATAAAGTTTTAAATTTAAATACAATGAATGTGCAATTGATAAAGACAAACGATGAGGAAGGAAATGAAAATTTTGTTTTAAATTATCATTTTGAATAATTGAGGTTAATAATTTCAGGATTAGGTGAAGCAGCCAGTAGTCAATTCTCGATACCCCATTCGATAGCTCTCATCGAGGATTTAAATTTGATTTGCGTAGCGGATCGTGAAAATGAACGAATTCAGTGTTTCAGTGCTGGAATCACCGATGATCAACGAGCTTTACCGATCGGAATGCTAATCACTAAAGCGGAAGGTGTTGGTCGAATTTATGCAATTCGTGAAAAAAGTAAAACATTTCCTCTTTTTTTTTTTTTTTCACCACTTAATGTCTCCTTCGTTTCCTTGAAAATTATCAATTTATAAGATTAAAAAAAAAATCTCGAAAAATCTCGAAAAAAGACGAAAGTATTGGTAAATTTTGTTGATTGATAGTATTATAAAATAATGTATTAGAAGTGAAATAGTAGTATTTAGAAATATATTATTCAAAAATATTTTTGAAATAGAATAACACTATTTAAAGTACTATTTAAAAATATATGATTTAACAATAATATGAACTGGAAATGGAAAATAAAAATAGATGAGTTAAAAAGTGATGTATTGGAAATGGAAAATAATTTTTATTTTGAAGAAATAATGTTATATTAAACGAAAATAATAAAAAAAAAATATTACATAATGTAATTTTTTAAATTATTACTTTATTATAAATTAAAATGTTAATTTCTAAGAAAATTAAAAATTTTGAGATTTAATAAATTATTGTTATCATTGTAGAGCACTATTTGGTGGGTGTTACTGAATCAGATGGTGAAGGTATTGAATCACAGCTATTTGTGATGGATATGAATAATGGAAAAACGAGAACATTTATGAGGGTAATTTTTAAAATAAATTTAAAATGTAGTTAAAAGAAAAAGGAAAAAAAGATGAGCAATTAATTTTATTTTATATTTTTACAAAAATTTTTTTTTTTTTTTTTAGGGAATTGAAAATGCTCACAGTTTAGCAATTTCGGATGATGGTATTGTTTATGTTGGCCAAACTGGACCTAAACAAATCGTTCAAATTCCACTACTTGATCAGTAGTGAAATATCAAAATGAAAATTGAATTATTGAATTGAATTGAAAAAAAAAAAAAAAAAAAGTGATTTTTCATACAAAAATTTGAATTACATTCCTCTCAATTAATGGAATATATATGATAAGTGGAAAAAAAATGAGTGAAATATGTACAAATGAAAGCTAATTTTTTTCAACTTTTCATTATTTATTTGCTATTTAAATCAGTAATCAAACAAAATTTATATTTGTTAGCGTAACAAACAGACAAATAAACAAAAACAAAAAAAAAAAAAAAAAGTAAACAAACAAAAAGGAAGAAAGAAAAAGATTTATTTGAGCAAATGAAGGTATAAAATTTTGAATGTTATGAAAAAAAAAAAAATTAATTTGTTAAAAATTTCAAATGAAATTGTGAATAAATTTTATATGAACACAAAAATTTAAATAAGTTTTAAAAGAAAAATGAAATAATTATAAAATAACACTTTGCTGGTAACTTTTTGATTAAATAAAAGGAATGTACAATAAAGATATGTGTATTGAAATACGAAATGAATTAATATATGCATTACTTAAAGTTAATTAACTAATGTTTATAAAATTTTACCTAAATATCTTGTCTTATAACTTATCTATGAGTAATTACTTTTAAAAAAAAAAAAGAAAAAAACTCAAAGCAATTTTTACTGGCATCTAAAATTAATGAAATTAAAATTTGATTATTACTGCTTACTCAGACTTTAAATATAAAATTTCGCTTAAAAATTTTTCTTTCTTTTTTTTTTTGTTTTTTAATCTTTTTCTCATTCAAAATTTTTATGATTTTATTTATTTATTTATCATTTCATCTCAAATAATTCAGATAAATGAAAATTTAACAACAAATAATTTATCCTTTTTTTCTCTCACTATTACATATCCATTCACTTTTCGATTCATTTTTAAAAAAAAAAAAAAAAAAAAAGTTTAAAAATTTAACTTTTCTGAAACTCATAGAAAATTTTTATGTGAAGATTTAAAATTAAGAAAACTTAAAATTTATAAAATATCATTTTTATTATTTATTAAATTAGTCAAAAAGGAAGTTAATTTTGGCTTAAATAATATGCAGTTTAAAATGTTAGATATGAAAAAAAAAAAAAAGTAAAAATGAAAAAGTTTGGTGAAAATTTATGTGTAAAATATTTATGCATAAAGAAAATAATATTTGAAAGGCTACTTAACAAATAATTTGCTGTAGAAATATTATAATAAATTAATTAACAATTTTTTCATAGTTATTAATAAACAAACTAATTTATTTGATACTTAATAGCAAAAAAAAATAATACTTAAGAAGTAATTTAAAAAAGAATAAATTTAATTTAATTTGGGCTATAGCAATTTAAATAACCAACTAAAACAATGGACAGTGAATAAGTAATACTTAATAATGTTAAAAATAAATAATAAAATTAAGTAATAAACAAAAATTATACATATCAATAAATTTAAGAAGATATAATGAATATAATTTATTTTTTAATTAGTTTTAGTACCATTGGATTTTTTTTTTTTTTTAATTTTTTTAGTTAGTTTTAGCTAGAACATTTTAATCAGTTTTAGTATTATGGAATAGATAAAATTCAATGATAACATTGGTTATCATTGAATTTTAACTTTCCCTAAAGCTCATAGTTTATCATTTTTTATTAAATGATAAAATTTTGTCAAACATCTTATAACTTAAATCCTTAGCTAACTTTAAAATTATCTGACTTTCAATTATTAGTATAGCTATTATCTGTTATTACATTATTATTGTTATTGTTATTACTATTATCATTATTATTATTACTATTATCATTATTATTATTATTATTACTATTATTATTATTATCATTATTAAATTTTCCTTGAACATTAAACAATAAAGCATTTCATTTATAATTAATCCATCAATTTAACTAACTAATCCATTGAATATAAATTCAAAATTTGCTCTAAAAATGATTTATGCTAATTTGTTGACTCATTTATACTTGAAAATTATTTGATTATTTTTTTTTTTTTTTTAATTGTTCCTTAATTTCTTTTTTCTTTGTATCATTTCTTTAAACAAAAATCCTAAATAATAAAATGTCTTAATTAATGATTCATATTAATTAAAAAAAAAAAAAAAGTACAATAGGTTTAGAAATAATTAACATTTATGAGGAGTATTATGAATAATTATAAATGATTAAAATTTTTTCGAATTCAATATTTACTTAAATGTTGAGAAAAATTTATTCTTAGTTATTTGTTATTGTCAAAATAATTAAACAGTATTTTTAAATAATTAAAAAGTAATCTAAGCTGAAAGTTAACTTTAGCTGCTCAAAAATTTATTACTGTATAAAAATAAGCTTTAAAGAGTTTAAAAGAAAATATTCATTTTTAAATTGGTATTTAATTATATTAACGAAATATTATTTTTTTTTTTTTTTTCAAGAAAGCTTAAAAAAAATATCTCACAATTTCATGAATGATTTTTAACCTTTGAAGAGAAAAAAAATTGTTTTGTTTTGTTTTTTTTTTTTTTTTCTTTTTTGCTTAAAAGAGATGTAATAATTCAATACTATTCAAACAAAATAGTAAATGCTAAAAAAAACTTTTCATACAAAATACTTTTCATATAATTTCTCTCTCTCTCTCTCTCTCTCTCTCTCTCTTTCTCCCTTTTAGCTTTTCAAAAAAGGCTTATTTCTATTCAGAGTAATATTTAGATAAAAGTGAAAATTTTAATTGATGGGTTAAAATTGAGGTCTAGACAAAATCTACCAACTAAAACGTATTACAGAACAAAAATTAGCCTAAAAGCTCACAGATCGTCAATTGTCAATGCCTATTGTCATTTGTATGTGACACAAATAGCAAAACCTAAAAGCCTACAAACTATCAATTGTCACTGCCTATTGTCATTTGTATGTGACACAAATAGCAAAACCTAAAAGCCTACAAACTATCAATTGTCAATGCCTATTGTCATTTGTATGCAATGCCTACAATGTCAATATGAGCTTAAACAAATATACCTTTTTCATATTATCAAAATGTATTAATATTTGTATAGAAGGTAAACATAAATTGAATAGAGATTGTTAATTGTACTTTGACCTCTTTCATCGAGAAATGATCGAGAAAAAAAAAAAAAAAAAACTACAGATACCAGTGCCTATTATATAAAGCATTGTTATAACTTATCAAGCCTTTATATTTATTCCATTTATTTTGAAAGAAATTTTTTTTTTTTTCTTAACTTTTGCTATCATTAATTTTTCTCATGCAAAAAAATCACTTTTTATTCTCATTTTTTTTTTTTTTTTCATTCAATAATTCCATTGATAGATAAATGATAAGTTGAATTCCAGGCATATTATTAACATTAGTAATTTATTACGAATATAAACAATTTAAATTATTCGAAATTTTTAAAATTATCTCCTATACAAATATTTATAAGTAAGAATTTAAGAATTTTATCATTATTATTACTATCAATTATTTTCATTATTATTGCTATCAATTATTATCATTATTATTACCATCAATTATTACAATTATTATTACTATCAATTATTATCATTATTATTCTATCAATTATCATTATTATTACTATCAATTATTAACATTATTATTACTATCAATTATTAACATTATTATTACTATCAATTATTATCATTATTATTATCAATTATTATCATTATTATTATCATTATTATCATTATTATTCATCAATTATTATCATTATTATTACTATCAATTATTATCATTATTATTTCTATTCAATTATTATCATTATTATTACTTATTCAATTATTATCATTATTATTTCCATCAATTATTATCATTATTATTATTATCATTATTATTATCATTATTATTACTATCAATTATTATCATTATTATTACTATCAATTATTATCATTATTATTTCCATCAATTATTATCATTATTATTACTATCAATTATTATCATTATTATTTATCAATTATTATCATTATTATTACTATCAATTATTATCATTATTATTACCATCAATTATTATCAATTATTATCATTATTATTATTATTATCAATTACTATCATTATTATATTATTACCTATCAATTATTATCATTATTATTACTATCAATTATTATCATTATTATTTCCATCAATTATTATTATTATTACTATCAATTATTATCATTATTATTACCATCAATTATTATCATTATTATTACTATCAATTATTATCATTATTATTACATCAATTATTATCATTATTATTACTATCAATTATTATCATTATTATTATCATTATTATCATTATTACTATCAATTATTATCATTATTATTACTATCAATTATTATCATTATTATTTCCATCAATTATTATCATTATTATTACTATCAATTATTATCATTATTATTTCCATCAATTATTATCATTATTATTACTATCATTATTATCATTATTATTCCATTATTCATTATTATTACTATCAATTATTATCATTATTATTTCCATCAATTATTATCATTATTATTACTATCAATTATTATCATTATTATTTCCATCAATTATTATCATTATTATTACTATCAATTATTATCATCATTATTACTATCAATTATTATCATTATTATTTCCATCAATTATTATCATTATTATTACTATCAATTATTATCATTATTATTTCCATCAATTATTATCATTATTATTACTATCAATTATTATCATTATTATTTCCATCAATTATTATCATTATTATTACTATCAATTATTATCATTATTATTTCCATCAATTATTATCATTATATCATTATTATCATTATTATTACTATCAATTATTATCATTATTATTACTATCAATTATTATCATTATTATTACTATCAATTATTATCATTATTATTTCCATCAATTATTATCATTATTATTACTATCAATTATTATCATTATTATTACTATCAATTATTATCATTATTATTACTATCAATTATTATCATTATTATTAC